CCACAATTACTTTATTACCACACCACTTGGCTGATGGAATGGGGGAGCTAGAGTTTATTGGGGTCTTAGGAGAGTAGGGACAGAGATTAGATCTAAAAGCCAGGAAGAGGGACCAACTTCAAAAGACAGGGCAATATACACACACACAGGCAGAGACGTTTTTTATTGGAACAGGGGGGTTAGTGCCTAAAGTCTCTTGGTAACAAAGAAAGACATAGGTGTCTATGTAAGAATTAAGACAGGGCAGGTATTCTTCCCTTTTTTAGGGTGCTGTCTACAACCATTGGAGCAGAGAGGATGATTGGAGGATGGACGGACTGAAGGACCAATCTTGGGAGAATTAAGTTTAAACCACAATTGCTCCCCAACAGTTTGGACCAATCAGAGAGTAACATTTTTTTAATGCATAATAAATTTCATATAGAGAAATATATCTTTTTATTAGTCTTCTCTTTTCAAAAGAATGGACCTTTTTTTCTAACAACAGCTCAGCAGCTAGCTTGCTACCTTGCCGTTCAGAGTTTGCAGTACTTTTGAGAAGCAGGGACACCAGGGGAATCACCTTAGAAACTGAATTATGTTTTTCAGTAGATATGTCTCTGGTTGCTTCCTCAAATGGTCTCAGTGCATCAATGGAGAAACGGATCAGAGACCATTTTTCCTCACTTAAGCAAAGTGAGCTCTTTCCAAGGAGACATAGGGCTGTGGTAACTGCCTCCCTTTGCTCAGACAGCCTCTCCCACATATAGAACACAGAGTTCCACCTTGTCTCAATTGCTTGAATAAGCTTATGTTCAGGGAAGCTCTGCTGCTTTTGAATGTCTTTAAGCTTGTCTGCAGCTTTGGTGCTATGGTGAAAGAAAGCAACAATAGCACTGCTTTTCTGTTGAATCTCAAGCAACTCAGGTTGAGACTTGAAAGAATCTTTTACCACCAAATTTAAAGTGCGTGCAAAACATGGATAGTGCGCCCATCCTGCTTTGCGCACAGCAGCAACCATGTTGGCACCATTATCTGTTATTACTGCCAGAATCTTGGTTGTTATGCCCCATTCCTCTGCAATTCTGGTTAAAATTGAACAAATATTGTCTGCAGTGTGTCCTCCAGAAACAGAGCATGTTTCTAGCACGCATCCCGGCATTTGCCATGTTTCATCTATGATGTGGCATGAGACAGTTAAATATGCCTCTGTGGCTCTTGATGTCCACATGTCAGTTGTAAGCACATTTTCTACACCATGCAGTGCCTTTCTGACCTTAGTGCAGCAGTCTTCATAAAGAACTGGTAGTTTCCCTTGCATCATAGTTTTTC